GCCCCTCTACAGGGTTTTGTTTGGCTATAGCAGCCTTCTTCCCTTCCCATTCTGCACTACTGCTCGTGCTGTCTCTGTTGTAATCTACCATATGCCTGTGCTTAATCATTACTTTGGTTGGGCGACCTTGGGTATCACTTGGGCTTCCTTGGAAGAAATGATTTTTTTAGAAATGTGATCTCAGACTCCCTTTGGCAGCAAGTCTGTATTCAGTACAACATGCACAGGACCTCACCACAAGATGCAGTTCAGAGCAGTGTGCTTCTCTTTACTAGTTTTCAACAAAACAGGAAATACAGAATATTTTTTTTCATTTGTTGTTGTAAACCTGTCCTAGTACGTGACATAGTCCTAAAATGAGATTATTTTTTTTTTCTCTTGAGATGCTGACGCTGTAGACTAGTTTCTGTAGTAGTTCTAGTCACACTATTAAATACAAAGTGTGGTTTACCAGTAGAAGGGCTTTCAGATACGTATGTGTAAGGGCAGGCACACTGTTGCAGATTTAATGACAAGCTGCAAAAAACAACTTAGCTCATCATAAATATTTGTTCTTGCTACTGCTTACTACTAATGTGCCCCTGTACTATGACTAGTTATGAAGGTCCTGAAAGTGTCCATATGGGTGCAGCCTGTGTATATTAAACATATACTGCTCTGAGCTGCCACCAGCCATGAGTAGGCAGAAGTAAGCTCTGGTCTTGCAATATGTCTGTGGGTTCCCTATTAAGGCAGTTTTATGGTAAGATGAACGAAAAATAATCAGGACTTGCTGTTTTTCACTAACAGTGTAACTCTGTTGATAGTAACTGTATTGCAATGTTATTTGTCTCTTAGTACATACATACACATACACCCCAGTTCTTCTCTACCCCTCCTCTTAAACTGCTGGCAGCAGTCCTCTTTACCAGCTCCCAGATTTCTCTGGAATGGTTTATTAATTCTTGGAACAGTTCATTAGAGATACAAAAACCTCATTCAAACTTTAACTGTATTTCAGATTTTTTCATACTTGTGAAATAAATAAATTATGCCCAATTTTGAGTGGGAAAATCAGGCAGGCATACAAAACCCACACAATATTGCATAGACTGTGACACAAGTTGAATGAAGGAGGTGAGTAGAAGGATACCAGTATGGAACTTATTTTCTAGCCAGCAGATATATGCTCTAATTTATATGATCTGATTTATTCTTAATTTGAAAATTAATGTAAAGGTTAAGCACAGGGATAAAGGAAACAGAAGGTTGATGGTTTGTGATTGAAAGACTTTACACTTCAGTCTGTTTTTGAGTAACTTTGAATTTCTCTGGTCATTCTAGACCTTTGGCTGAGCTCCATGTGCAACAGCCTTGGATCGGCTCTTGGGACATCTGTTAATCTATATATAGGATTCACACACTTGCACACGTAAGCAGGTGATCTCCTAAATATATGAAATGGCATTGGGAACTCCAAGTACTTATTTAAGCCAAAATGAATTCAGGAGTGAAGTAATCCTTTTTGCCCTCCTCCCTGCCACAAAAATAAGCTGTATTGGAAAAAAAAAGTGCATTATCTGACGATTATAACCTATGCTTAATATGTATGTATATACATTCATAAATCCCAGGAATTACTTAGTGTTTATCAAAAGTATCCTGAAAATTACCTTTTTCCTATTCTCCAGTTTAGTCTTCTTGACAGTGGCTTGTTTCTAGCTGTGAAGGCACATAATGTTTAAAAATAAAAGGTGTATATAATGGGTAGAGAAAAAGGGTAGTAGATGGTAACTGATACAGAAATAAGATATATTTAGAAAATTCATAAAGGAAGCTGAAGTCAGGAAGGGAATTTTAAGTCATTTGATGAAGTCTCTAGCTGTCTGAGACTGATTTCTAGTAAATCTGGCAACAGCAGGAAGACTTCAGAAAATCAAAAGATGAGTAACATTTTGCATCACTACTGAAAAAGGGTGAGTGAGTAAGGAGTGGCTGATCTGGTCAGTTCCAGGAAAAAAAAAAAACCTATGGAAAATTTGATAAAGAATTTAGATGATATAAGAATGGCAGTATAATCACACTAATTCAGCTTTTCAATTTGTGAAAACAAGTCTGCTCAAATGCAATTTTGTTGTTTGGATACATGAAATTTGGTTGCTAAGGGTTTTGTCTGGGTGTAATAGACTTTTATAACATCTTTGACTTAGTAGTGTGGTATATTTTGGTTTTAAAAAGTATGTCTGAATTTAATGAAGTACTGCTTATGTGCATTAAGAACCGACTGTAATCAAAGAAAACAGAAAAGCGTTTGTAGTTGGGATCAGCCCAGTGCGGTCTGGAAACAAATACAAGATGGTAACAGTGTGGATGGAACAAAGATTAGTGGAGGCATAAATAATGACATTAAAAAAATTTTAGATCATTAGGCAAACTGAGACGGGGGGGCAAAATGTGCTTAAATGCAGGTGAGGGCAGAGTTATGCACCGAGGAGCAAAAAATGCAAGCCACACCTGTGTGGGGGAGTTTTCTCTGAAAATCCCTAACTCTGGGAGTTGAAAGGTAAATAGTAGGTGTAGTTGGAAATGGGAGGGAAAGTAGATGGTCCTACCCAGTAAATAGCAAAGTGGCAAGAACGGCTAACATACATTGCCAGATTTGTAAATGGTAAAGCATGAGTAATAATGAGGTTATCTGCACTTAAAGCTGGGGAGATGGACCTGATGTTATGGGTCTGTGCCTTGTCTGTATACATTTACCAAGATGTGCTAATTTAGGGTATGGAAATGAGTCCCTGAAATGGCTCACCAGTGGAAATAATGCCATACAGTGAGAGATTTAATGTGCCGTTACCTAATAGGGCTGAAATCACTTAATGGCGTACTGCTGCTGGAAGGATGAAGTTTCACTCCCACCTTGTGTTAGTGCTAGCAAATACCTGGCTGTACAGTCACCCTTTTCAGCTCACTAATGAGACAGAAAACTATTCTCTGTTTTGGATGGGCTGAGATTTCTGTCATGTCAGTGAGTCCAGCCACCAGTCAGGGATGATGTGGGGAGTAAGAGATTTGACTGTCACAGCAAGATCAAGCGCTCATGTAGATGTGTCATCACCTGATTTGGGTTTTGATCACCTCAAAGGGAATGCAGAAAATGAAGAGCTCTGTGAACAGGCCGGCCCTGAGACTGTATTAGCCCTCACACTAACACAGAAGTAGGAGTGCGATCGCATGCTGGGTGAGAGGAAGAGTCTGGGACTACCACTTCTGTTTGCAGTATCATGGCCAAACGAAGGGCCTGTTCCTTCCTCTCTGCGTTCCCTCCTCCTTGCTCTGGCTCTTGGTTGATTCCACACAAAATTAGCATGGTGCTCTGTACACCCTCCCTCCCTCTCTCCCTTCTCTGTACTAAAGGAAGTAGTTTCCTGCCCAGGATGCATATATTAAGAAATCAGAGTTTGGTTTAACAAGCAGAAGAGAGGTAACTGGGCTGCTCACTGCACACAAAAGTACCTCGGAAGGTAGGAAATATATTCTCATTGTCGTAAACCGTTCAAAGAAAGGTACATCAGGAGCCAGTGGAAGTGTAAGCTGGACAAATCCAAGGGAAAATTTAAGTGTGCATTTAAGTGAGGGTGATTAGCAGCTGTGCAAACAACCAAGGAAGAGGTGGATCTCTTGTTAACTTCATATGAAGACCAGAACCATTACTGGAAGCTGAATCTTAGTTGAATGCAAACTGCAAATAGGAGGTTGAAAGAAACAGGTAAAATTTGATGATGTGTGTTAGTAGACGAAGTGGCATCTTCTCCTTAAATTTTTTTATTCCTACTTTAGGGAGTGTACAGTATAAATTTAGATATAATGTATGAAATGAATGTATAGGACAAAGAAAGTACTTGAGAAAGGAAGCATAAGGGTTATAATGAGATTGTATAGTTAGACTGTAGAGCAGTTTTGTTCTCTGGTGGTTCCACTACATTTGTGTGGACTTCTGTTATGTGGACTATACAACAGACGTAAGCTTGACAGAGAAATTGAAATAAAAACAGGGAAGATGACATGCCATTCATTTTATAATATTTTATGCTGAATATACTTAGGAGCTTGGGCTTGATTACAGATTGGATTCAGTATTTATTGATGCTCACTCAGGCTGTCTTAAATTGTTATATGTGCATGTGCACACATGCATGTGATTTTTGTCTTCAGTTTTGGAAGGTCCCTTTCAACATGGAAGCTGTCTTTGACTGTAAGAACAATCTCTGGAATGTTGCTTTGATTGTATAGTTTAAAGGGAGACTCTTGTTATAATCTAAATGTTGAAAATATGACTATTCCAGAGATTTACATTAGAAGAAAAAATAGATAATTGCACTTCACACAGGTAGTGTATGTTCTGTTACACTAAAAGAGGAAAAAATCTGGTGATAATGAATTCCTTTTGCTGTAGAACAAGGACACGTCTAGATATATCCATGATATTTCACTTTTGTGAGACATTTCTGAAGGTGAATTTCTGAGTTGAGGAATTAAATCAGCTTTGTAATTTAGAGTAATGACCAATAATTTTGTCATATCAATGAAATCTGCACACGGTAATTAGAGTTTTTGGGTGTCATTAGCGGCTGAGGTGTCACGCTGTATTATTTAATGGAGGGCTGTCAGCCGATGTTTCTCTTTGTTTGTTTTTTAATATTAATGATTTGGAAAGAAGTTGGTGCTCTAGAAAGAATTGAGAAACAGGCCTGGCTTTGCGGATTTTTATCACCCTGCCAAGACCCTGCGCAACTTCCTCTCCCTTTTGCCCGCAGCAGAATACGGAAACCTGACTGCTGAAGGCCACTTCTGCAATTGCACTGGGGCAGGGGAGCAGGGTGGGAGGGGGAGGGTCTTTCGTTCTCCCGTTTGCTAGTGCCTTGGCATCCAAAGAAGAAAACAAGATGCGTTTGAAAATGTCTCTTCAGTTGTTTCTTGCACTGATGGGTTTCCTTCTCTTCCCTCTCTCTGCTGTCGTGCAGTGCTGCAGTTGAAGCTCCAGCAGCGACGCACAAGGGAGGAGCTGGTGAGCCAAGGGATCATGCCGCGTAAGTATCACTTAAATTACTTGTCTTGGTGTCTTTATACATGTTTTTGAGCGGAGAATGGTGTCAGATACTATTTGAAAGATCAGATTCTCGGTTTCTGCTTGAAAAACATCATATATAAGAGCCCCACCCTGTCCCACCTGACTTGGTCCTTCTGAAGCACAGGTACGCTATGTACGGGGCCACCTCTGATACTGAGGAAGAGAGTAATGGCTCCAGGAGTAACTGTACTCCAAAACAACGTTTATATTTGATCACAGTACACAAGAGTCTTCTGGAGAACATACTATGTTAGAAGTGCCTTATATAATTGACGCATGCTGGTAATCATTCTTTTAACAGGCTTCCTGCCTCTGCAGTTTCTGTTCTTGTTTGTCAGCTCTCCGGCCCTCTGGGGCAATTGTAACTTTGTATGTACATATTCCATAAAATGACTGAAGACAGGCAGTGCATACAACATGTTAACCAACAAGAGGCCCTGTTTTATGTTTGTAGCTAGAAAGGTCCCTATGGTATCAGCCATTCCCCTTCTTGAAGGGAAAGGCAAAATCTGCAGAGCCAGAGAACTTTTCCTTTTCTGGGTGGACACACCTTAATGCCAAACTTTCATGAATTCATTGTCAGTTTAATGTTGGAGAAGGTATTTTTTTGTTTTGTTCCTCTCCTTCCCCCCAGAATGCAAACATATCTGACAGATAGTTTTGTCATGCTTTGGTACTTGTGAACTAGATGACTTAGAGCTAACAACTTGAAGCAAAAGTCTTATGTTTTACTCTTTCAAAAACTTTTCCTCTCCCCCATTTCACAAGCCTTAGTTGAAGACAGTGTAGTAATGAGGAGTTTCTCATTCCTTCTATTTCTGGGGTGCGCACTGTAATACGACACAGCGATGTGACTTAGACTTTGCTAAAGGCGTTAAGGTTAGTCTGTCACCTTGCTCTCTGAATGAAGAGAACCTGTCAGCAGCACTCTGTCAGCTGAAGTGTCTCACTGGAAGGCAGTGACATGCTCAAGATGTTTCTGGGACCCCTACTTAAAATTCTATTACTAAATCAAAAAGGAAAGATTGCTCTGTCTGGATATAGTACATCATGACTGTCATATTTTTACCTGGGGAACTTGTATACATGCTTTTGCAGAATACACTTACTTGGTTTTGGATGAAAGACTAGTGTCCTAGTGGCTGTGCCCTTTTACTAATGCTTCTCAGAAGAAAATGTTCCTGACTTCTTTGTGGTCTCCTGCTTTAGGTGCATATGTATGCAAATACTATATTAAGTTATGTTTGGTACTGACTTCCTTCAAAGTGTGGCTGGCCAAACTTGTGATTCCTGAGAGGGGTCTGTTTTGTGGGCCCTTTTAAAAAATGAGGCCTTTGCAAGTAATTCAAGTAAGGCACCCAGAGTAATTAGTCAGTCTTAAATTTGCTTAAAATATACCCTAAATAACTAGTCTTTGCAGACTTGTGCCCTTCGTTGCTTCATTTATGTCTCTTACATGTGAGTTTTATGATGGACCAAAGAAGAATGCTCAGTGAAATATCATTGTGAAAGTATTGACAACACAAGAAAAAGCCCTTTCTGCAGTGGAGAAAAAACATTTCAGCCGATACGTTCTAAGCATGATTTGAAATTAGTTCCCTCCAAGTCATGGTATCACTTACCCATACCTACCAACTGGAAATAACCACACATAGGGAAATGTTTGAAATATTATTTGCCTGGGCCATTTTTAATGAGAAGATCAGATGTGAGATAAATTATGACACTTAAAGCAAAAAGTCCTATTTTTATCCTGAGAAGTACAGAGGATGACTAGGGGCCTTGTTCCTCCCGAAGGTATCTCAGAGCTGTGACAGCTTTCCTTCTACTTTCAACAGTTCAGAATAGACATTTTTACTTATTACTGGGAATGTGCAGGTGTCCTGTATTCTTTCATCTCTCTGCCTTGTACACCTCGTGAAAACATTTAGGTACTTAGTCTTGTTCCTCTGTCATCTACTAAACGTGGCTATACTAGGCCCCATGTCTCCCTCCTGAGTTTGTTAGTCAGGAGCCAAGCCCCACACAGCCCTTTATGATGATTTCACAAAACTATAGAAGTGGAAAACCAGAGGATAGTTTGGTGCTGAATTAAATGGGCTGGAGTGCTCTTTCCATGTGAAATGCTGGTTGGCTTGTAGCCTTTATTTTCTGTCTGGAGAGCCTTCACACTCTTGAAAGAATTGTGGTAGTTGTGGTTGTATCTACATTAGCATTATAGCTTGTGTCAGGAAGGTGCTTTTGAAGTGAAGCTCCTGATGGCACCTGCCTGCTGTACCTTGTTTTGCACCATGAAATGAAGTTTGAGAGTTGGATTAAATTGGGATGCAAGTAAAGTGGAAAATATTCTGCCTACAGCTAATATGCATTCAGTCCATGGGAGCAGACTGCAGCTTGTCTGGCACCACACTTTCTGTTTCACCTTCATGTATAGAATGTGGATGTCAATTCCTTGGCATCAGCTGTTTTCTGTGCAGATTTGGTCTTATTATGCTATCCTACATATTCGTTTAGATTAATCTTTAATACAGATCAGTTCCTGGATCATGTAGCCAGACAGACAGGCAAAAATCTGTGAACTAGATGTGAGAGAAGTAAGTTTTTATTTTATACTAAAAGCTATCTAGTGTGCAAACTCACTTTGGTACCTTTGGTTCTCCTGACTCCAGTGTAAATATTACATGGTGTTCATCTTGGTGCCCTCAAAGAGAAATTTTATTTCGGGCTTCCATCAACACAAGGTTTTTGGACACTGTAAACCTGAGGAGTGGGAGAAGACATGTTTACGTCACATTAAAGTGAGAATGAGAGTCACATCACTCCTGCTTTGCTTCTTCAGAACAGAGCTAGGAATTGCTTACTTTGTTCCCATGTGGAATTTTGTTTATATGGTAGAGAGGATAGGCAAATGTTTCAACATTTTTTAACCAAGTACACTTAATCTCGCTTGAATAACCTTTCCAACCCACCAGCCACCTACAGTAGAGCTATACTTCACTAAAAGATTAGTGTATTGTAGTAAAAAATAAAGCATTTCTAAGCAGTGACAGAGGATTCAAAATAATTGAGTTTCATGCTTCATTAAGTATTCTTGCTTTTCTCTTATCACTTTGTGTAACCTTTTACTAGTAGCAAGATTCATTAGTTGATTAAAATTCTCAATTGCCCATAGAAAAGAGGTGGGAGGCAAGTCTTCATCTGCATCTGACATACCTGTGATTTGAGCTAGAAGGACTGTATCTAGGAACAAGGAGAACTGAGTTTTCATATTTATTCAGGTTTTGCCCTATTTTCTGATAGTGCAAGTAGACAAGCTTTTTTGCTATTTGCATTTTTTTGTAGCTATACAGAGGTCATTTTCATCTTCTCATCCTCATAAAATGCAAGCTAAACAAAATCTGTCTGTGCTCAACTCTTTGAATTCTGTGGTGCTGCAGAAGAACAGTCAGATGCTGTCAGTTTTTAGTGTCGCATTGAAAGGTTACAGCCATTTGTAAAGTCTTTGGGGGGAGTATTAAACACCCAGTTTTCCACCATTGAAAAGAATGTTTGAAACCGTAGCTAATGTTCATCTGAATAGAAAGACGTGTGGAAAACATCTTCAACTAAAACAGCAAAAAATTTTAGAGGAAAGACTTTTGGCAAATGCAGCAATACTCTGCTTTGCAAAGTATGTTGCGCTTTTTCTCATTTGCAAGGTTTAAAGCTTCACATGCCTGTTTTATCCATCGGGATAGTGATCTTTGGTTTCTGGCTGCAAACACAAAATATAAGCATGCATGCAAGGTTGTCATATAACACAATCCTGCAAGAAAGCTGTTATCATGACCATTGGATTGACTTAAGCAGGCGAAACAGAAGTTGAAAATACTTTCTGGGAATGTGCCTTGTGTTGCTTTATAGCACTGCTTCGTGAATATCTGAAAGATGACACAGGCAGCCTTTGAAAAGGGCATCGTCTGGACTGAAAGCTAGGAGGAGGGTGGCAGCAGTACAGCCAGAGAATTTCCAGGAGCTGCTTTTTCACTTCAGTATATCTGATGTTTGCCAGTTTTTATGCCCACATCCAACTACCCTGACTGTATGTTTGCATTCCAGGATGCAGTATATACAGAAAGCATGACTCTGTGTAGAATCCAGAAAGGGTGGAGTTTGTGCTATTTTTCTATTGTGACTGTTTTTGCAGGTGCTGAGGTGTTTCCGTGCATTACCAACACTGATGCAGTTTTCTGCTTGGACATGCAGCCTGTTAGTTGCTTGAGTGTATTTCAGAATACAAGATTTGTGAAACTTGTGCTGCTGGGTTTCAGACTCTTCTGAGGAGGGGGTATTTTATCTCAGGACTACATCAGGGGAGCATGCCATAGTTCAACTGCAGCATGACACACAATTAGGAATTACTGTAATACAGCAGGTGATCTAATGATCATAATCTCACTAGGCCTGTCATATCACTAGCTGCATTTTTTTTTGGTAGCCATAAAGTTAATGGAGAAAATGTAATATTTGTTATAAAACTAAAATACAGTATTTCCTTTTGGGAGGCTGTGAGACATTGCTTAGAATAAATTCTAAAGGAATTGCCATTTAATGGGGACACTTAGTGATTCAAGGATACAGAACACAGGTTATGCTTTGGCATATCAACGTTGATCACATAGGCAAAGCTTGTAACTGGTCTTCTGCATCCATTACAGCTACCATCACAAGAAAACAGGGATCTTTGAAGTATTGATTTCAGAAAAAGAAATTCTTGCCACCTGTGAGTTTCTAAAGTTAAGCCATGTCTCTAGACTTTAACATCTCAATCCCAAAATTTGGCCATACATCCACATTTGTGTTTGTGTAGAGTAGCTAGAGATGGTATTGCTGCTTTAGCTTTCACTTGATAGTCTAACCACTTCTCAAATTTATAAAAGTAATTTGGTTGATGAAAATTATGCACTTCCAACTTTATTG